TGTTTATGATATGATTTTCACATTCCAGATCTGTTTGGACTTGAAGAATCCTTGCTTTATAAAACAATCATAACTTAATATTTTTAATCTAAAACCATATTGTATCTGATCAGCAAATTTTTATTAATGAGTGAATGTGGGGTGGGGGGATCAAAGCTTTTAATGTTGATTGTTGCCATAGAGAGTGGGGTGAATTGGGCCACTTTTTACTCATGGTGTGTTTAAGTGAGTGCATGACAGTAATGGGTCCAACTTAAAAATGTACATACATTTCAGAACGTGGTGCATGCTTGGGAATAATCGCTTTGGATCTAAAATAAACTGCTTTCAAAATAAGCCTTTCCAAAACAAAAAGTGGTCTCCTGGCTCAGGATCCAGCTCCTTTGACCCTATAAGGACAACACGGTTTGTATAATGGAATGAATGGATGGATGACAACTTTAAAGGCATTTTTTAATTATTAAACATTTCAGAACACGATAAAATTCTAATTAAAGAAGAAAAAACGTTGCAGTTGAATGGATGGATGACAACTTTAAAGGCATTTTTTAATTATTAAATATTTCAGAACACGATAAAATTCTAATTAAAGAAGAAAAAACGTTGCAGGGAGTTTGATTGACAGGCAATCTGACCAATCATAATGCCGGATCTGCCATTTCTGTCCGACACAAACCAGACAGGAGAGTAGATTAATGTTGGTGGACTTGAACTTTAAAAATGGTGTGTATTGATGTCTTTCCGTGGTTGAAACAAGATACCTTCTGATGTTCATTTGTGTTTATTTCATGTTTATTTTTCATTGGTGAGAACACGATGTGTGGCATGAGAGTGGCATGGCTTGACGGACTTAGCAACAGTAACTAAGGGTCATCCTAGTTATAAATGATGCAGGGTAATAAAAGGTCATAAAAACTTAAATGGCCATTGTTGTCAACAATGCCTATTTAAAATTAACTCTTCAAATATTTGTGGTCATATCACCAATTTTGTGGTTGCCTTGCCTAACAAGGGGTGGCTCAACTTTCCCACAGGTTCAAATCACCCTGCTCTCTCCACTACTGCATTGATTACTTAAACAATTGAGAAATTTAAGAAATTTAATAAAGAGATATTTAAAATTACACGTACATCAAAAATTACACTTGTTGCCCAACAGATATTACAAAAATATGATTCATTTTAGTTGAAAGACTGAAAAAAAAATACATTTCAGAAAGTTTTAAAGATGTTTTGAAACCAACATACAAAACCTTAATTTGTCCTTTTGTTTCCCACCAAAAATGTCATAAAGAATCTTTTACCGAAGTGAAATTGAGGACTCAGCCTAAACTAATAGTCAAATACAAAACAAAGAACAAAATCAAAAGTGTTTGGTCTAAAGTTAATAGTGCAATGTAGAATTACAGTAAAATAATACTTTATAAGTAATCATAAGAAAATGATATTTCAGAAATATTTGAAGGTGTTTTGAAACCAACATACAAAACCTTTGTTTGTCCTTTTGTTTTTCACCAAAAATGTCATGAGGATGAATCTCACTGTTGAAGAGACAAACCAATCAGAAAAATATATATATATATTACTTTAAATGGTGATTTTAATATCTCATCCAGTATATATGCTCTCAGAAAAAAAGGTACACTTTAGGTAGCCTATACAAATACAGTATGTATCTTTAAGATTCTAAAATGCACCCTTCACATGTAAATATGGTAGGCTACAAAGGTGCACCTTTTGATCTATCTTTTGATCTATCAGTGGTACTTTCCCAGTGACAGCTTTTGTACATTTTGATGGGGACATTCTACCTTGTGGATCCACTGATGACAGAAATCAAGTCACGTACATGTTTCTCGTCAGTGGGTGGAATGCTGTTCCCTGCAAGCGTGTTATTATATTAAGACGAAACCGCATTGTTCACAAGAAAGGCAAGAAAGGCAGCGTGTAGTCTTTTAGTCTGTCATTGCAGAAATTCCGAGAAGGCGAGACAGAAGTTTTGAAGTCATACCGTAAGACCATCTCTACACGAGGTGAGACACCACTGCTCTTCTGCTACTGTAGTCACCGCATTTGAGTTATTTCGTTTCATAGTTTTATTCCTAGTGAGCAAATATATTTGTGTTTCTTTAATATTATAACTGAAATTATATCTCTTTGGGGGAAACCCGTCATGCTTTGCTTGAAGGACCATCATTAACATCTGCCCACAAGATTTTTGTGTGGAATACCCGATAATACGTAATTTGAGCATCAGTTTGAAGTTTATGATTATTTTCATAACCTCAAAAAGTTTTACTTGCACAGAACTTGTTGCGTGCCAACTGATACGCAACCTTGCTTTGTCACGTTTCTCTATGATAACGGGAAATATGAGGTGTGTTTTGTGTTTCGTATCCCAATCTGTCACGAGGGATGAAGTCTGTGGGTGCGTTTTTGTTTGACGCTCTTTATGGCTCATAACGAAAAATAGGAGTTATCGTTTTTCATGTCGTTTCCAGGAAAGCGCTTTAAACCTGCCAGACCTGCTGTCACGAAAACCCGAGATGAGGGCGTTTTATTTTCGATGGATTTTACTCTCAGCTCTTTGGATTGCAGGTAAGAGTTCATTTCCACGTCGCTGATTGTAGTCTACACTACTTAGGTTGGCTTTGTCTATTTTTATGTTGGCGACATGAGGAAATAATTTGTATTCATCTGTAGCTGTTGTGGAACGTTTATTGTGGTCGCTGTTAGCGTTCAAACAACGGGAAAGAATTAATAAAGGTGATGCATTTTCAAAAGTGAAAAACTGCGCATAAATGTTTTATTTTTTTATCACTGGTCATTGAGTTAATATCTGTATCACTGTCAGTGTTGGGGAACGTTACTTTTAAAAGTAATGCATTACAGAGTTGCATTATTTTTATTCATTTTGAGGAATACTGAATCAGTTTTTTTTTGTGAGAGATTAATTAATGCATATTCATATTTATTTTAGAACTACAGTAACATCTTCTGATTTCTCTCAACATGGGGACAGGAGAGCTGTCAATCAATAAATTGGAGAAAAAAAAGTAACTTGCGTTACTTATTTGAAAAAGTAACTCGCGTTACTTATTTGAAAAAGTAACTCCGATATTCTCTTGTAAATTAAAACGTAATGCGTTACTTTACTAGTTACTTGAAAAAAGTAATCTGATTACGTAACTCACGTTACTTGTAATGCGTTACCCCCAACACTGATCACTGTACACTGAATGAAAGCTTGATTGTTTTCCTTACCTGCCACTTACAGTCTTCCTAAACATTCAGCAACACCATATGAAATGCATTTACTCAGACTAAGTTTTAAAAATAGGCTACGTTAGGTATTATTAGCAAAGATGATGATGTTGAAGTTTCATTTGCAGTTGTTACCTATGTGTTAAAAAAAACTTCAAAGTTCCCCGCTTCACGTGTTCACATGACATACTGACATACTGACATTCTCAGCTGCGGTTACGGAACTTTTCAAAACCACCACTGAACAAGAATGCTTACATGTGTTAAAATAAGGTCAGACAGCTATTTACTTTTATTTTAAACAGGTACAGTTGGATGACAAGGCGTAAAAGAGAAATTTGGTTCATGCATTAAAACAGTAATTAGTCCCATACTAGCTAAATTTATTAATTTTTTTTTCCTCTTCAAGGGAGTGAGATGCACATCACAAATCTCAGATCATATACCATCAGTGCTGGTCTTGCATTTAAGCTTGAGTGCAATGAAGACCGTGAAATGCAGAATGTGAGCTGGAGCCGTGTTCCTGATCAGAGTCTGGAAAGCATCAGCGGAATAAACATTCATGGAAGCGCGCTATGGTTTCTGCCTGTTGACCTCTCCCACAGCGGATCCTACTCCTGTCTCAGCAGGTATGATGCAATTCACAAAGTTGTTTAGTTTTGACATATTTTGAATACTGAAGAACTTGTTTTATCACAAATCATGTTCAAGCATCTTTGTTTTGTCCCGCTAAGGTCCACTTAGAATGTTGAAAATTTAAAACTGGAATGTAATTATTTTAACACTCTCTTAGCATTAATGAGTCTGAAATAAAATGACCAAAATGATCAGTATTCTTGTTCAAAACAAATGTCCTCCTTGACAGTGATTCCTGTGAATGAACACTGAATAGTCGGCATTGATGTTTAAATTCGGATGGTTAAATGATCAAACAATCTGTTCAGAACAAGCCGTTTATGCAGTTTTGTTTTCACTAGGATGGAAGTTCTGAAACATTTCAGTATGATTCATTGTACAATGATGCTTTATTTCTAAAGGAAATTTGATTACTGAAATCTTACTGAAATACTTTAGATAATTTTTGGATACTTGTTGTGAAAAAATGTTGTGAAATGCAAGCTACCTCGGATCAAATTATGCAAAATGAGGTGTAGAGCATAAAGATGCAAACATAAATTAAAAACACGGTAACACTTTCCTTTATATTTGTGACCCTGGACCACAAAACCAGTCGCATGGGTATGTTTGTAGCAATAGCCAAAAATACATTGTATGGGTCAAAATTATAGATTTTTCTTTTATGCCAAAAATCATTAGAATATTAAGTAAAGATCATGTTCCATGAAGATATTTAGTAAATTTCCTACCATAAATATATCAAAACTTAATTTTTTATTAGTAATATGCATTGCTAAGAACTTCATTTGGACAACTTTAAAGGCGATTTTCTCAATATTTTGATTTTTTTGCACCCTCAGATTCCAGATTTTCAAATAGTTGTATCTCAGCCAAATATTGTCCTATCCTAACAAACCATACATCAATGGAAAGCCTGTTTATTCAGCTTGTTGAGATGTATAAATTTCAAAAAATTGACACTTAAGACTGGTTTTGTGCTCCAGGGTCACATATAATGCACTATAAAAGTATTTTTAATGCATTCATTTTGCATTGTAGTTATAATACAGGTGCATCTCAATAAATTAGAATGTCGTGGAAAAGTCTGTGTGCATTGAATTTATTTAATACACGAGTTTCACAATTTGAGTTGAATTACTGAAATAAATTAACTTTTCCACGACATTCTAATTTATTGAGATGCACCTGTACATTGCATGATCTCATTGCTATTTGTAACCACAGTTATAACACTTATCTATTAATTATTGCACTTTCAGAAAATATAATGCATTAAAACATGTAACAAGAACTCCTCAAATATTTTAACGAATTACATCTTTGGTTACAATTATTTATGAAAATATATAATGCATTACAACATACATGAATACCTTCATAATGCATCATGCATAAAGGCTTCAAGAAAAATGTTATGAAAAGCAACTTTGTATGTTTTCTGTTCAGTATTCCCTCATTGCCGGTCTTTCATCCCAACTGTTGTTCTATATGGCAGAAAGGGCAATAAAACTGGGGAAACAATATTTGACGTCTCCGTTGACAATAAAGCATGCCCCTGTGCGAACAGAAAAGACGGAGTAAAGAGCACAAAGGACATCACTTGTTTGCTTCCTCACATCTTTGAGATAGACCCTCAGGCTCAAGTGACCTGGAGAAATGTAAGACACAATCGTAAATGGATCTGAACGCAAACACTACTGCATAAGACCAACATGCTAAAAATGACTAAAAATATTTAAAGGAATAGTTCATGCAAAACAATGAAATTTTGCTGAAAATGGCCTCCCCCTCAGGCCATCCAAGATGTAGATGAGTTTGTTTCTTCATCAGATTTGTAGAAATGCAGCATTGCATCAGTGTATCAACAATGGATGCTCTGCAGTGAATGGGTGCCGTCAGAATAAGAGTCCAGACAGCTGATAAAAACATCACAATAATCCACAAGTAATCCACAGCACTCCAGTCCATCAGTTAACATATTTTATAAGAAACAAATCCATGATCCATCATTAAGACGTCTTTAACTTCAAACCATTGTTTAAATATGAGTCCTCTATCCATAATAACGCTTCCTCCAAATGAAAAATTCATCTGGTCTGAATCAGGAGAGAAATTTGCAAAGATCAAGCTCCGTTTACAAGCCTAAACAGCTCTAAACAAATGTGGCTGGATTTTGATGTGAGAGACAACAAGAGATTACTTTTTCACTGGAGGAAGCATTATTATGGATTATGGACTCATATTTTAGCTGGAAGTGACGGTTTAAAGTTAAAAACATCTTAATGAAGGATTTATTTCTTTTGTCTTCTCAAGACATAATTGATGGACTGGAGTGGATTACTTGTGGATTATTGTGATGTTTTTATCAGCTGTTTGGACTCTCATTCTGACGGCACCCATTCACTGCAGAGCATCCATTGCTGAGACAGTGATGCAATGCTACATTTCTCCAAATCTGATGAACAAACAAAATCACATCTCGGATGGCCTGAGGCTGAGTACAGGCAAATGTACGTGCATTTTCAGCAAGTTTTCATTTTTGGATGAACTCTTCCTTTAATGCTTCTACTGTGGTTAATATTACTTTCATAAAAATAGCAAACATCAGACAAGGTTTTGTTCTGCAAGACACCAAAACATTGCTAAAGTCATCAATATGTCAAGCATTGTGGGTTTGGGAGTTCCTTACATACAGTTAATGCAGTTATAACTTTCACTTTCACATTTAAACATCGTCACTCCTAAATCCATGCATGTCTGTACGTGTACAGTACATTGTAATTGTTTTGTCTGCTAAACGGTTTGTTTTTCTCTCTCTTTAGAACTGCCACCCACTCAATGTGACAAACAGTAAGGTTTTCCCGCTAAACAGATCCCGAGACATGGTTGGACTCTATACGTGCTTTGTGAGCTTTACTTTTGGAGGGCAGAATTACTCTGCTGCCCAGACTACAGAAATCTACAGCCACTCTAAGGGTTATGGTAAATGACTATTTAAAATCTGAAAGGATTCTAGAGGCTCTGTTTCAAACCCTATAGTGAGTTGCATGCCTACTGGCTTAGTCTACTAGTATTATACACTCTGAGGGAACAAAAAGTATGGCCAGTACCTTAAGGTACAAAAGACAAAAAGGTACATCTTTCTGCCTTATTTAGCCCTAAATGGTTCACACACACACACACATATATATATATATATATATTATTATTATTATTATTATTATTTTATTTCAGCTAGTTGCTTTTCTTATTTTCATTCAGTTTAACTTGATGTTCTAAAATAAGTAAAATTGAAAACCTGAATAAAAATGTATTAATACTGTATAGACATATTCAAAAAACTAATAAAAATAACAAAACCACACCACAATATTATTAAAACTTTAACTGAAATTAAAATGAAAATTAAATATATAAACTACTTCAAAATGCTAATAACAACTATAATAGTATCTCAGTTATACTTAAATAACCCTGCTTAGAATCCATTGAGAAAATCATCTAGTCAACTACATTTGATCATAAAGATAAATAAATGCTTTATTAATATCCACTTTGGACCAAGAGATAGCAGTATAGAGCTGAAGTGAAAATGTTCAGATTGAGAGAGTTTCTGTGGTTTGATCAATAATGCGATAAATGTGTTTCGTTAACAGTGGTGACAAAGCCTGAAATCATCTACCCAAAAGAAGAAACACAAAAAGTAACACTTGGTGAGTGATAATGATATGTCATTTAAGCCCTTCTGCTGCTGTATGTGTGCATCTAATTCTTATATGTGTTTTAAAAGAACAGTTCACCCAAAAATGAAAACAGTTTGCTCCCCCTCAGGCCATCCAAGATTTGGATTAGTTTGTTTTTTTATCAGATTTGGAGAAATGTTGCATTGCATCAGTGTCTCAGCAACGGATGCTCTGCAGTGAATGGGTGCAGTCAGAATGAGAGTCCAAACAGCTGATAAAAACACAATAATCCACAAGTAATCCACACCACTCCAGTCCATCAGTTAACATCTGGAGAAGACAAAAGCTGTGTGTTTGTAAGAAACAAATCCATCGTTAAGATGTTTTTAACTTTAAACTGTTGCTTCAGTCCAAGATACGAGTCCATAATCTATAGTAACGCTTCCTCCAGTGAAAAAGTCATCTGGTCTGAATCAGGAGTGAAATCTGCACAGATCAAGCACCGTTTACAAGCCCAAACAGCTCTAAACAAATATGTGGCTGGATTTTGATGAGAGAGAAACCAGGATTTGGACTTTTTCACTGGAGGAAGCGTTATTATGGGATTATTAAATGGATTATTTTAGCTGAAAGCAAAAGTTTGAAGTTAAAAACGTCTTAAATCTGATGAAGAAACAAACTACATCTTGGATGGCCTGAGGGGGAGTGCATTTGCATTTTTGGGTAAACTAGCCCTAAATTCAAGAAATTAATTGGAATTTCAATTCTGATCAAGCCTGATGTACATGAGCATGTGCAGTATGTGTTTGAAGAGCACAATAACGTTCATGCCATCAGGGGCGGATTTAATGATTTGGGGGCCCCAGGTTTACCACACATTTACCTAGATCAGCCTTCAGGTTCCTTTTTTGTTGTGATGCTTGCTGCTGCACAATGGTGCCCCACAGTTGTGTCCAGTGTTTCTACATTTTTCATGTACATGTTATAATGGCTTTCTTTCATGCTGTAGAACCCGAAATAGCAATTGATTTACAGTTTTCACAAAAACAAAATAAATTATAAAATGATAAACATCACAATTGAGACTTTACTTTTTAAGGAAAGAGATGAGTCGGAAGTATAAATTATGATATTAATTTAAAACGGGGTTATGTGGGTGGATTTTCGCATTTCTGACATGAAAGGTCAGAAATACAGCGGTGTCCCCGGTAACAGCTGTAAACAACGCAGCGCCGCTCATAAATGCTACTTTATCAGATAAAATGAAAATGTCACCGAAACTTTTCTGAAGACAGTCGGTTCCCTTCATTCATTCATATAAAAATTAGTGAATTAGTGAGAATGAGAAACATATAGCCTATATTGAGGAGGAAAGTCCACTGATGAGTTACCAGCGTAAGCCTGTGTGCCAAAATTAAAATTCTAAACTTTAAAATACACTTATTTTAGTTATTTTAACTACAAATTTAAATGAAAATGAAAAAAAATGAAACGGAAATTATACATTTACACACATAAGTATTATATCAACCATACAAGTAACTGCGTATGCGTACTCTACTTGGGTCCTTCTCATAAATGAGTAAGCGGCATTTAAAACAATAAACATATAATACGCACTGTTGCGCAATATTTAATTACAGCTTCAGATACATGATATTTTAATTTTCTACAAGCAGGATACATGAGAAGTGTGTTCAACTCGGACACGCAGACGGTTGTCGTGGTGAGAAACACTGTAAAAAGAAACCGTTCGTGTGTCAGCGCTTAATGCCCATCTCGTATATGAAAAGCATTTTAGGAGGCCCTTGGCTTTTGGGGGCCCAAGGCAGTCGCCTTTGCCTAATGGGTAAGTCCGCCTCTGCATGTCATTAAAGGTGAAAGTTACACACTGAACTGCAAAGCTCTTGTTGGGAAGAACGACGGTGGAGAAACTTTCATCTACTGGCTTAATGGCTTTACATTTCTCGAACTGGACTACGTCACAAGCATGTAAGTACATTTGCCATTCACTCTTCATGCATACATACATCTATCCATATTAGGTGTTTCAACGACTAATCGACTAGTCGAATTTAATGCTCTGCCATGAGGCTTTAAGCTTGACGTCGACTAGTCGCTGGTCCTATAGAGGGCGCAACAGGATAAGAAATCTTTGAAGGACTTCCACATTTACGCTCCGTTTCCAAACAGTTAAAATGACAAATAAATGCATACTCTGAAACTGCTTATTGTACAGGTTAGTTAATCGCCGTTCTAATCTAATGCGCTGCTGCACTGTAACGCTCACACATAAGCTACAGACAGTAGCTCGTACATCACGCGCACATAATCATTCAGCGCGGAAATGTATTGTCAACACTGTTCTGTGATTTCTCAATAAAATAGCTTAGAAACTGAAAAGTTCAAGCATA